TCAATAGATAGTTATTGAATGCAGCGACAACGTAAGGGAGCTTTGAAACTTCTAGTGATTTGCAGTTGCATACAATTTAATAGCTAGCGCGTCGATTTGATTGCAAGGACAACACGTCTTCCAAGACCTACAGAACTGATGTACTAGTCCTGTCAAAGAATGATAATACAACTTTTTCGAACATATGATTTGATAAGAAAAGGGTTTTTTACCGACCAGATAAACCCACAAAATTATAGTCGGAAGGGGATAGACTAAACGCAGTATCTCGGTGAAGCTAAATTTTGACTTCTTTTAGACTATGATGGCCGAATCTTCCACAGAACTCTTTCCCACATTCAAAGAATGATTCGATAGTAAGCGAGGGAGTCGCTCCGCACCTTTAGTCAGACGCCTACTTGAAATTTCCTCTTTAGCCGGCCACTATGACTTCTTTTGCCTATTGTTTTTTTAAAAAGAGAGGTATATAATCGTTTTCGAACTAAGAAATCGCGCTGCTGCAACTTCTCTACGTCAATGTGCCACAAATCCCTGTTTCTAACATATTGATGATTATTGATACTCGTGTTCAGGACAATGCAGTTATTCAGAAAAGGTGAGAAAACTTGGAGTCGAATATTTGTCCGGACCTATAAGGTATAAGACGTCGACCAAATCCACAGAGTGCGGACGCACTGCGAGCGATGTAAATGGAGCTGGCACTGAGATGAAGACAACTGGATTATGTTTTGTGTACAGTAGGACGACTGGAACGGGATCCAGATGTCATTTATGCCTACGCATCGATGAGAAACTTCGCAAACGCAAAAGCCAATAGCGGGAAAGCGTGAGAGCCTATTGCGTCTGATCAGACATATGTCTCATGCTTAACTACGGCAATGTCATATTTCAAAGTCAAATTATACCCCTGCAAAAACTACTTGAAAACCGAAAAGTCACAAAGTAAGAAAAAGAAAATATCTTTCACAACCTTTTTGCTGCGCTTTGGAATTTTTACACTTTCTTGATTCCTCGAAAGCGCTGCGACAGTTAATGATAGTTCAAGTGAACCACAGAAATTCGCTAAAAACCAAAAGAGATACACTTTTTTAGACCGTGTTTGTGGGTACCATCGCACTGCTGCGCAGCTGCTACAATAAATAACCTAACAACTCTATTACTCACGTCATTGATGTTTTTCAACGCCATAAACTTCCTTGTTGTTACCAGAAGAGAATTGTCTACGCGAGCATTGCCATGATCTGAAGCATGATGGTTAGCTCAAGATAAGGATCTAGGCGACAGGATATTTTTTCAAGTACTGCAGCATTTGTTGAATAATATATCTTTCTTTCACAGCATATCTATTTCCGAAGATGAACCTTCTGTATGCAAACTCACGCACATGGCTTTATTCCTGCACGAGCGCTTATACCCTCTGGCTTCTGCTTTGAAGTGACGACGCAAAGGCAACCAGGAGACGACGTTCGTTTCAAAGGTAATCTACGTCCGTTCTGTAAAAACAATGCAAATTCTTATTTTCTGTAGAAGATTTGCGCTA